TCTTCTCTTCTCTTCTCTTCTCTTCTCTTCTCTTCTCTTCTCTTCTCCTCTCTCCCTCTCTCGCTTTCTCTCCCTCTCTTCTCTCTCTCTCTCTCTCTCTCTCCTCTCACTTTTCTGATCAGAAGTTGAACTTAGTGACCTACCTTTCGTCCACCCCCTCCTACTCAAATGATCCTGCTTTAGGCTTCCCAAAGGTAAAGTTGTACCAGCAGCTCCCATAACTTATATTTCAAGTCCACTAGCCCTTTGAGATGTGTTTTTTTTCTTTTCATCAGACCCACTTTTCGTCACGCAGCTTCACTGAGGACCCACTCCCTCTGCGGCAGACGCCACAGCGAAGATTGCCCTCGGCGTTCATGCAGTCGCGCAAAGTGTCGGAGGAGCCCGGGAAGGGCAGGGCGAAGTGGCGTGAATTCGAAGTTGACTTGGAATGGACTCATAGCAGTGGGATGCAGTGGGTTTATCCGTGGGATGCCTGTGTTGTTTGTGCCATAGCGCACTGAATATGGTATGGGAGGAGGTGTGTTGGAGGTGATCTAGTCAACATCTAGTCAACTTAGAAGCGTTTGTTTTGAATTGATGAACAAAATTCTGAATGTTTCTTCATGTGTTCAATTGTGAGAGTGTTGTGTGTTCATTCGCAATTCTATAGTGAACTTCAGCAGGTAGACTCTGACTTTGCAAATTACAAGACTTTGTCGGCAGTGTTGTTACTGACCACATGTACCAACGCCAGAACAGGATACATTTTTCAAGTCATTTGATCCGTATTGGATATCATGTTTTGTCAACATGTTCACTAGTATCCATGGCCACATCCGATAGTCAAAAATACACAACGGTTCGGCTGCTTACGCTGGCGTGGGTACCTGTCCGTGCACACGGTGTCGACGTTTTCTTCGAACGTGAAGAGCAGGAGATTCCGCGCACAGAGTTGGCAGGGATGCAGGCGGGTTTCTCGCAAATCGACCCGTTTTGTGTGGCCTGCTTTGTGTGCAGTGAAGGCAGGGGTAAGACGATGTCAGCTCACCAGGTTGTCTTTCGGTGCAGCGATTTTTTTGAATGAATCACAATGCAGTTTAGAGGTGCACTTGGCTCCCGAGCATGTGTTTGTGATGCTTTTGATCCTCTTTCAGGCTTCCCAAAGGTAAAGTTGTACCAGCAACTCCCATAACTTATATATTTCAAGTCCACTAGCCCTTTGAGATGTATTCTATTTTTTTTCATCAGACCGCAGCTTCATTGAGGACCCACTTCCTCTGCGGCAGACGCCACAGCGAAGATTGCCCTCGGCGTTCACGCAGTCACGCAAAGTGTCGGAGGAGCCCGGGAAGGGCAGGGCGAAGTGGCGTGAATTCGAAGTTGACTTGGAATGGACTCATAGCAGTGGGATGCAGTGGGTTTAAAATCCGTGGGATGCCTGTGTTGTTTGTGCCATACCGCACTGAATATGGTATGGGAGGAGGTGTGTTGGAGGTGATCTAGTCAACATCTAGTCAACTTAGAAGAGTTTGTTTTGAACTGATGAACTGAATTCTGAATGTTTCTTTATTTGATATCATGCTTTGTCAACATGTTCACTCATCACATCACGAAAGGTAGCCCTTTAGGGGATACCTTGAGTTTGTCTTGCGAAGCAAGTGTTGGGACGTCCGGGTCTAACAATTGATCGCTCAATTCAGAGACCCCCCCCACC